TGGAGAGCTGAGGAGACCTGGTTACCTGGACGCATCCTCGAAGAGCCCATCGACATGAGCCACCTCGGCCTCCTTCTTCTCCACCCAGCTCTCCAGTTCCTGCAGGGCAGCTCGGCGTTGCTTTAGGAAGTCCACCTTCTCCAGCTCCTGGTCAATCCATTCGCGGATCTCGTCCATCGAGAGGCCCAGCTCTTCTACCGCCAGGTCCATGGTCTCGGCGGATGTCATTGCTGTTCTGGAGGGCAGGAGAGTGCGTGTTGACAACACAATAAAACCTGGGAATGGATTTACCCAATTGCATCAGGGTTAAAACGCCACGTGGGGGAAGCCGCCTGTACTGTGCAGATATCAGGTCAGATTAAGGGTCCATGGTTATAGGGTAGCCCCTTTCACAGAATCCCTACAGCGTGGAAGCAGGCCATTTAGCCCATCAAGTACACAACAAGCCCCTCGAGAGCATGCCACCCGCACCCCCACCTCCTCCACACGCCCCCAACCCTATCCCTGTAACCCTGCACTTCCCATGGCTAAACCACTTCCCGTGCTAACAATTTAGCATGGCCAATCCACCCTAACCTGCACATCCCTGGGTGCTACAGAACAATTTAGCATGGCTGATCCACCCTAGACTTCACATCTTTGGATTGTGGGAGGAAACCACAGCACCCAGAGGAAAACCACAGAGACATAGGGGTAGAATGTGTGAATTCCACACAGACAGTCGCACGAGGGTGGAATCGAACCCAGGTCCCTTGCACCGCAAGGCAGCAGTGCTAACCACTGCGGCACTGTGCTGCTCCTTTCAGACAGGGACAAGAAATTTCTTCACCGATAGTGTGGCAGAATTTTCTACAATTTGAGACAGCGGAGTCACTGAATGTATTTAAGGAAAAAAACAGTTTCTTCAAGACGACAAGCGTCAAGGGGAGTAGGAAGGGACAAATGAACAGGCTCGCTGGGTCAGATATAACCACTCAAGCTCCTATTTCAACATTTCCAAGGGCAGAATCTGTTTAGTCAGGCCCAAAAACTAGTGAGGGCACCATAATAACAGGAGGATCCTATCTGAAATGGCCTAGCATGAAACTAAGATTGGTGGTTCGAGACCACCCAGTGGCGTAGTGCTCACATGGGTGGCACGGTGGCTCAGTGGTTAGCACTGCTGCCTCATGGTGCCAGGGACCCGGGTTCGATTCCAGTGTCGGGCGACCGTCTGTGCGGGGTTTGCACATTCTCCCCGTGTTGGCATGGGTTTCGTTTCCGCTGGGTGCTCCGGCTTCCTTCCACAGTCCAAAGATGCGCAGGTTAGGGTGGATTGGCCGTGCTAAATTGCCCATAGTGCCTGGGGATGTTTAGGTGAGGTGGGTTAGACATGGGAAATGCAGGGCTGGGGGAATGGGTCTGGGTGGGATGCTCTTTGGAGGGGTGGGCTGAATGGCCTGCTTCCACACTGTAGGGATTCTATGATTCTTATACATCCCAACCTTTTTCTCAGTAACTGGGTTATTCACAGGCAACAATATTACATAGCGCTGCTTCCTCCAGCCACAAGAGAGAGGGGGGCATTTGGGCAAAGGGAGGATTCGGGGCAAAGGGGGTGGATTTCGGGACAAGGGAAAGGGGGATTTGGGGGAAGAGGGGAAAAAAAGAGATGACAGAGAGAGGATAAAAAGAGAGACAAGAGGGAGAAGCGGGAGCCAGGAACTACAATCCCCAGCATGCTCCGCGGGATCAAAGCGCGTACGCATGCGCGGTGTAGCAGCGCCCGGCCCTCCCGCGCAGCCGCACTGCTCCGGTGGCCGGCTCCCCGAGGCAATTTTGAAAAAAAAAATGAAAGAAAAAAAAGGGAAGATTAAAGGCTCCGTGGGGGCAGAAACACGCGGCGGCGGTGCGGGAACGTGGAGTCGGAAGAGGACGACGAGCGAACCTTCGCACCAACCTGCAGGAGAAAAACAGTAAGAAAACAATCCGAGCATCTCACCTTCTCCTGCAGCCGTGAGGCCTGGCCCGGCGCCTAATCACTAGGCCGCGGCTTCTCTAAATTTCTTTTACCGACTCTCTCTCGCTCGCTCGCTCTACGTGACTTCGCAGATTGCGGTGGGAAGGCTACATGGTTTTAATTGAAACGCATCATCTTTCTGCCCTTTCCCAGGCCCCCTGGTGAAAGGATGTTTTGAAAAGACGGTTTCTGATGCGTCGCCCAAACACGCCGGGCTGCAACCCACCTTGAACGGGGATTGGCCAATGGCGCTGCCGGCCACACGGATTGACCGCTACCGCGGCCAATAGGTGTCGGTCCCGCCCCCCCACGATCCGCGAGTGACGGGAATCCGGTCCAATTGAATGAGGTCCCACCCCCGCTGCGTCTGGTTGACGGATATCTGGATGATTCAAATGGGGTCCCGCCCTCTGTCTTCCTGATCGACGGTGGTCTTGTCCAATGCGATGAGGACCCACCAATATGGGTAACGGACTGATGGAGTCTCGACCAATCGCATTTGGTCCCACCTTGTCAGCCGCGATCGACTTGGAAGCAGCCAATCGTGCGGTTTTCTTCCCAGACGGAGAACGCCACTGGACTTTCGCATACACCAGCCCGTTGATCGACGTCCTCCTCTTCCAATGGGAAGATGGAAGGGAAACAGTCACTGCGGATGATACCACCCATTCGTAACTGACGTTCGCTCGTCCAATCATCTCTAAGCCCATCAGTACTGATTGACAATTCTTCCTGATCGACTGCTGACCCGGCCAATCGGCGTTGGGGAAATTTGCAGAGCCGCCCATCCAGCTCTGAATAATAGGACTTTCCACCAATGGGTGGGCAGAGACGTGGACAGGCCAGTGACAATGGGCCACCCTGCTGTGGAGTGGGGTAGAAGCATGGAGGGACCGAATGGCCATCTGCATCAATCTGCAGATGGTCCACACCCAGCTATTTTCAGTGCAGCGAACACTCTGACCTCGCTCGGCTAGACCATCTGTTCCCAGGCACTGATCACACAGAAATGGCCTTTCTTCATGTAATTGGGACCTCTAGCTCCAAGTGGCGACGGTGAGTCTGGGCACCGAGCAGGGCAGCTGGAGCAGTCGAACCAAAAATGGATTTCCTCAACCAAACCTCAAGCACGTGCTTAATTCTTCAAACTACGCCAATTTTCTGGCTTAGCCTCATGTTTGTAATGATAACTGCAACCAACATCATCAAAGACGCCTCCCACCCTGGTGTTTTTTTTAAATTTATTCATTTTGTGGGATGTGGGCATCGCTGGCTGTGCCAGCATTTATTGCCAGTCCCTAGTTGCCCCTTGAGAAGGTGGTGGCGAGCTGCCTTCTTGAACCGCTGCAGTCCTCCTGCTGTAGGTAGACACACAATGCCCTTAGGGAGGTAATTCCAGCTTTTTGACCCAACGACAGTGAAGGAACGGCGATATATTTCCGAGTCAAGATGATGAGTGGCTTGGAGGGGAACTTGGAGGTGGTGGTTATCCCATATATCTGCTGCCCTTGTCCTTCTAGATGGAAGTGGTCATGGATTTGGAAGTTGCTGTCTGAGGATCTTTGGTGAATTTTGACAATGCATCTTGCAGACAGTACACACTGCTGCTACTGAGTGTCCATGGTGGAGGGAGTGGATATTTGTGGATGTAGTGCCAATCAAGCGGGCTGGTATATCCCAGATGATGTTGAGCTTCTTGAGTGTTGTTGGGGCTGCATTCATCCAGGCAAGTGTGGAGTATTCCATCACACTCCTGACTTGTGCCTTGTAGAAGGTTGACAGACTTTGGGGAGTCAGGAAGTGTGTTCCTCACCGCAGTATTCCTAACTTCTGGCCTGCTCTTGTAGCCACTGTGTTTATATGGTGAGTCCAGTTGAGTTTCTGATCAGTGATAGTGGGGGATTCAGTGATGGTAACACCATTGAATGTCAAGGGACAGTTGTCTCTTATTGGTGATGGTCATAGCCTGGCATTTGTATGGCGTGAATGTTACTTGCCACTTGTCAGCCCAAGCCTGGATATTGTCCAAATCTTGTTGCATTTGAACGTGGACTGCTTCAGTAGCTGAGGAGTAATGAATGGTGCTGAACATTGTGCAATCATCAGCGAACATCCCACTTCTGACCTTGTGTTGGAGGGAGGGCCATTGATGAAGCAGCTGAAGGTGGTTGGGCCTAGGACACTACCCTGAGGAACTCCTGCAGCGATGTCCTGGAGCTGAGATGACTGACCTCCAACAACCATGACCATCTTCCTATGTGTCACGTAAGACTCCAACCACTGAAGTGTTTGCCCCCTGATACCCATTGATTCCAGTTTTGCCAGGGCTTCTTGATGCCACACTCAGTCGAATGCAGCCTTGATGTCAAGGGCTGTCACTCTCACCTCACCTCTGAGATTCAGCTCTTTTGTCCATGTTTGAACAAAGGCTGTAATGAGGTCAGGAGCTGAGTGGCCCTGGCAGAAACCAAACTGGGCATCACTGAGCAGGTTATTGCTGAGCAGGTGCTGTGTGATAGCCCTGTTACTGACACCTTCCATCACTTTACTGATGATTGAGACTGATGGGGCGGTAATTGGCTGAGTTGGATTTGTCCTGCTTTTTGTGTACAGGACATAGTTGGGCAATTTTCCACATTGCCGGGTAGATACCAGTGTTGTAACTGTACTGGAACAGCTTGGCTAGGGGAGCGGCAAGTTCTGGAGCACAAGTCTTCAGTACAATTGCCGGAATGTTGTCAGGGCCCGTAGCCTTTATAGTATCCAGTGTCTCCAACCGTTTCTTGATATCACGTGGAGTGAATCGAATCGGCTGAAGACTAGTATCTGTAACGCTGGAGACCACTGCAGGAGGCCGAGATGGATCATCCACTTGACACTTCTGGCTGAAGATTGCTGCGAAAACTTCAGCCTTATCTTTTGCACTGATGGGCTGGGCTCTTCTGTCATTGAGGACGGGGATATTTGTGGAGCATCCTCCTCCAGTGAGTTGTTTAATTGTCCACCACCATTCACAACTGGATGTGGCAGGACTACAGAGCTTAGATCTGAGCCATAGATTGTGGGATCGCTTAGCTCTGTCTATCACTTGCTGCTTTCGCTGTTTGGCGTACAAGTAGTCCTGTTTGGTGGTTTCACCAGGTTGGCACCTCATCTTCAGGTATGCCTGGTGCTGCTCCTGGCATGCCCTCCTGCACTGTCCATTGAACCAGGGTTGATTCCCTGGCTTGATGGTAAGGGTTGAGTGGGGGATATGCCGGGCCATGAGGCTACAGATTGTGTTGGAGTACAATTCTGCTGTTGTTGATGGCCCACAGTGCCCCATGGATGCCCAGTCTTGAGTTGCTAGATCTGTGCGAAGTCTGTCCCATTTAGCACGGTGATAGTGCCACACAACACGCTTGAGGTTATTCTCAATGTGAAGGTGGGACTTTGCCTCCACAAGGACCGTGTGATGGTCGCTCTTACCGATACTGTCATGGACAGATGCCTCTACAGCTGGCAGATTGGTAAGGATGAGGTCAAGTATGTTTTTCCCTCTTGTTGGTTCCCTCACCACCTGCCGCAGACCCAGTCTAGCAGCTGTGTTCTTTAGGACCTGACCAGCTCGATCAGTATTACTGCTGCTGAGCCATTCTTGGTGGTGGACATTGAAATCCCCCACCCAGAGTACATTTTGTGCCCTTGCCATCCTCAGTGCTTCCTCTAAGTGTTGCTCAACATGGAGGGAGTACTGATTCATCAGCTGAGGGGGGACAGTATGTGGTAATCAGCAGGAGGTTTCCTTGCCCATGTTTAACCTGAAGCCATGAGACTTCATGGGGTCCGGGGTCAACGTTGAGGACTCCTAGAGCAACCCCCTCCTGACTGTATCCCACTGTGCCACCCCCTCTGCTGTGTCTGTCCTGCCGGGGGGACAGGACATATCTAGGGATGGTGATGGTGATGGTGATGTGGTGTCTGGGGCATTGTCTGTAAGGTATGATTCTGTGAGTATGACTATGTCTGGCTGTTGCTTAACTAGTCTGTGAGACAGCTCTCCCAATGTTGGCACTAACCCCCAGATGTTAGTGAGGAGGACTTTGCAGGGTCAACAGGGCTGTTTCTCCCATTGTCCTTTCCAGTGCCCAGGTCCATGCCAGGGGATCCATCCGGTTCTATTTCTCTGAGACTTTGTAGCGATTGGTACAACAGATTGGCTTGCTAGGCCATTTCAGAGGGCAACTGAGAGTCAACCACATTGCTGTAGGTCTGGAGTCACATGTAGGCCAGACCAGGTAAGGAGGGCAGATTCCCTTCCCTGAAGGACATTAGTGAACCAGATGGGATTTTCCGACATTCAGCAACAGATTCACGGTCATCAGTAGATTCTTAATTCCAGATTTTTTTTCATTGAATTCAAACTCCACCATCTGCCGTGGTGGGATTCGAACCTGGATCCCCAGAACGTCACCTCGGTCTCTGGATTAATAGTCTAGCAATAACACCACTAGGCCATCGCCTTGTAATCTCTTCCGTCAGGCAGAAGGTACAAAAGCTTAAACACACATACTAACAGATTCAAGGACGGCTTTTTCCCTGCTGTTATCAGACTTCTGAATGGACCTCTCAAAATTCAAATGTTGATCTTGCTGTTTGTGCACCTTCTCTGCAACTGCTACATTATATTCCTCACCCTGATCTGTCACCCGATGATCTTTGTATGGTATGATCTGCCTGTGCTGCTTGCAAAACACAACTTTTCACTGTGCCTAGGTACAAGTGACAATAATAAATCAATTCAAATCAGATCTGATGCCTGTCGAATAAAGAATCCTGCTCCATGATCCTTGGGTCACTGGCAATTTTTGCATTGAATTGAATTGAATCATTTATTGTCAAATATATTCAAATAAAATACAGTGCCCTTCACATTAGCTTAAAATAGGGAAAGGAAACTTGGCGGCCCGGTGTCTCAGTGGTTAGCACCGCTGCCTCACGGCGCCAGGGACCCGGGTTCGACCCTACCCTTGGGCGACTGTCTGTATGGAGTTTGCACATTCTCCCCGTGTCTGCGTGGATTTCCTCCGGGTGCTCCGGTTTCCTCCCAGAGTCCA